ATACCGTTGGTCTCATCACTTCCGTTAGTTTCATCGCTGCCTTTGGTATCCTCCCTGCCATTGGATACAGGTATTCTCTCAGCTCCCCTTCCAGCCATCACTTCCATTATTTCGGCTCCTCTGCCTGGAGTATCCTCTATTCTTCCTCTAGACCCCCTGGCCTCTCTACCAGCTGTTTCGTCCATCTTATCAGCTCCACTACCAGCAGTCACATCGATTCTGTCTGCTCCGCTACCCGAAGTAACATCTATTTTGCCAGCTCCCCTGCCGGATCCAGATTCGGGTCCATTGCCAGTTCCATTACCAGGCGTATCCTCCATTCTATCAGCTCCCTTACCTGGAGTAACATCGATCTTGGCAGCTCCACTTCCAGGCCCAGATTCAGGGCCACTGCCAGTTCCATTGCCAGGAGTCTCCTCTATTCTATCTGCCCCCCTACCTGGCCTTACATCGATTCTGTCAGCTCCACTGCCCGGAGTTACGTCGATTTTGGCAGCTCCGCTTCCTGGAGTCTCCTCCATCATTCCCGGAGATCCTCTCGCTTCTTTGCCTGGGGTCACGTCTATTCTCTCTGCTCCCTTACCCGGTATCACATCTATACTCTCGGCTCCCCTGCCTGGAGTCTCCTCCATCATTCCCGAAGATCCTCTCGCTTCTTTGCCTGGGGTCACATCTATTCTCTCTGCTCCCTTACCCGGTATCACATCTATACTCTCGGCCCCCCTGCCTGGAGTCTCCTCTCTCGTTCCCCTTGATCCTCTAGCTTCTCTACCTGTGGTCTCGTCTATTCTGTCCGGTCCACTACCAGGGATCACATCCATACTCTCAGCTCCTCTTGATCCGCTAGCTTCCCTGCCAGCCGTCTCGTCTATTCTATCAGCCCCTATACCAGGCGTCACATCCATCATTCCAGCTCCTCTGCCGGGGATTTCCTCTATCGTTCCTTTGGATCCTCTGGCTTCTCTTCCAGCCATCTCGTCTGTTCTCTCAGCCCCGCTTCCAGGTATTACATCTATTCTATCAGCTCCCCTTCCAGGCGTTACTTCTCTCCTCTCGGCCCCCCTGCCTGGAATCTCTTCTATTGTGCCTTTGGATCCTCTAGCGTCCCTACCAGTTGTCTCGTCTATCCTTTCAGCACCTCTACCAGTGGTTTCTTCTCTTGTACCCGACAACCCTCTGGCTTCTCTTCCAGCTGTCTCATCTATTCTCTCGGCACCTTTGCCAGGTATTACGTCCATTCTACCAGGGATCTCTTCTATTGTTCCACTGGATCCTCTAGCTTCTGTGCCATTAGTCTCATCCATTCTTTCAGCGCCTCTGCCAGAGGTCACTTCTATATTACCAGGGGTCTCTTCTATTCTCTCGGCTCCTCTACCTGGTGTTACGTCCATCTTACCAGCGATCTCGTCCATTGTACCAGCTCCTCTACCTGGAGTCTCATCGCTGGTTCCTCTGGATCCCTTAGCTTCCTTACCAGCAGTTTCATCCATCCTCTCGGCTCCTCTTCCGGGGGTCACATCAATCTTACCAGCGGTCTCGTCTCTTCTCTCGGCTCCTCTACCAGGGGTCTCATCTATTGTACCAGTCCCCGTGCCAGGGATCTCATCCATTATTCCATCTGTAATTCCAACTGGCATTACATCCGTCATTCAGTCTCTTCCTACATTTATATCCCCGATCTCCGTCCCAGTTCTCACTTCTTCCATCCTTCCCATTCCTCTCCCAAGTGGCACTTCTTTGATACCCTCTCTTAATCCCCCTATCATCTCCTCTCTGGTACCGTCAGCTCTTACATCCGCTATTGCATCGATCCCGGTCGTGGGATCTTCTATCATCCCGTCCATCAACCCTTCTATGATCCCATCTTTGAGTATATCCTTACCACTGTCTTCAATTCCCCTTGGTACAGCTTTATCATCGCTGCCAGTCTCACTACCTACATCTATCATTTCATTACCCAGCTCAATTGGCCCCTTACCAGTTCCAACCTCTATCGTCTCCATTCCAAGCTCGATTGGTCCCATTCCAATCCCAACTTCGATTCTCTCGATCCCGGGTTCGATCGGGTCCCTGCCTGGCTCAATTGGCTCTCTACCGCTGCCAACCTCGATAGTTCCACTGCCAATCCCGACATCTATTCTCTCAATCCCGAGCTCGATTGGTTCTCTACCAGTTCCGACATCGGTTGTCTCGATCCCCAGCTCGATCGGCTCATTGTTGACTGGTCTTCCCTCAATTCCGAGCTCGATAGTCCCACTACCGACTTCAGGCATCTCAGTGCCAACTTCCCTCCCATCGATCCCAAGCTCAATCATTTCACTTCCAACGAGTCTTCCGTCCATCCCGAGCTCGATTGGCTCCCTCCCAGTTCCAACATCGCTTATATCTATCCCGGGCTCAATCGTTTCATTGCCAACAAGTCTTCCGTCCATCCCAAGCTTGATTAGCTCCCTCCCAGTTCCAACATCCCTTGTCCCGATTCCAACCTCTATCGTTCCCGTGCCAACTTCGATAATGTCTCTGCCAGTTTCTTCTCTTAACACGGGTGTACCGTCGATTTCGGGCCCCATCTCGTCCCTACCTACGGGAATTCCAATCGCAAGCTCGGTTGCTCTATCCTCAGCCCTTTCTTCGCCACCTCCGTCAATCCTCTCTTGTCCCGCCAGCAGTGGTTCGACGTACAGCAGTTCCAGAGGTAACTTTGCCGTTGAATGTTACATTGATTATTATGACTACGATCTCGGTATGGCACCCAACAACCCTGCAAACTACGAGCAATGTATCCAGGCTTGTGCTGCCAATTCGTTGTGCCAAGCAGTTTCCTATCTGCCCAACGGCCCATGCTATCTAAAATACGGCATTGGGCAGCCTTATGTTAATCCGGCTGTTTGGGGAGCTAGACTTGCAAGTGTGCCAGTTCCATCTGTATTCCTGCCTCCAATCACCCCACCAGCTCAGTCTCCCGGAAGCATTATTCATACCACAACAGCCCCCGGTTCTCCTGGAGGGACATTGACCACCAACCCAACGGCTCCCGGCTCTGCTGGAGGAACACTGAGCACCAATCCAACGGCCCCAGGCTCTACTGTGGCGACCCTGAGCACCATCCGTACCACAACTACTTCAGCAGTCGGTCCGACATCCAGTCCGGTATCATGTCCCAGCTCTAATCTATCCACCGTTATTGTTGGCGGAAGACAGTACCTAATCACCTGCGGCATTGATTACTTCGATAACGACATATCGTCTCCATTGTCTCCTACATTCCCCAAGTCGTACGAGGGCTGTTTGGCTGATTGTTCATCCACGCCCAGCTGTGCTGCAGTTGCCTACGTCAAAGGCGGTCCTTGCTACTTGAAGACTGGCACTGGCACTGGCTTCAAGATTGACAGCACGGTCATTGGCGCCAAGCTGATCAGAGTCTTGCCTACTTCCACATCCGCCACATCCACTCCATCCGGACCAACTGTGACTGTGACCACGACAATCTCTAATACCGGGTACCAGTGCGCCTGTACCCCTACTTCGTTCCCTACACCCACTCCCGTTACATGCCCTGCGGATAATGGCAGCACATATACCACCACTTGCGGAGCTAAGTACGCTGTAGAGTGCGCCCAAGATCGCTACGGCAACGATAGTGAGTGACATGATATGCAACATTGAAATGTTTTGCTGACGCTCATTACAGTCCCCAACGGCCTTTTCTTTGTGGACAGCTACGAAAGTTGCCTTGAAAAATGCGACCAGATGTCAGGCTGCGTTGCTATATCCTTTGTCCCACGACCTCCTGGCGTCCACAGCCCTTGCTACACCAAGTATTCTACAGGAACTATCCGCCCGAACCCTGAGGTCAACGGCAGCAGCAAGATATCCGGATGCACAAGGCTCAAGCTGCGACGCAAGCGTGTTGTGCAGCCCGTCCACAAGAAGCAGCCTGCGCCCAAGAAACAGCTTGATAAGCGTGTATTGTTCTTGGGTCCTGACTTCACTTTTACCCAGTCCCAGGTTACTGCCACGCAAACCTCCACAGTGGGCGCGACCGTTTTGATGTCAGTATTCTGGGCCCTTTCTTCTAGATGACTTTGCTGACCTAATCGCAGTACCTCTACACCCCTCTACGCTACCTCTACCGCATTTCGCCCGACTCTGGCGACGGCTATCGCCACATCCACTGTGACTGTACGCAGCACCGTCGTCAATACTGTTAGCTACTGCCCAGCTGCCACCGGCCTTCTCAGTCCCCTAGGTCTGCCGCTCTGAGTGCTACGTATCATCTTTCCTTCTCAGTTTGAGGCGGTCCAACCTCTCTGATTCTCGAGTTCACCAGATTGAACTTACATCAAGGTCTTTCTTTGCAAGATGGGCCTTTTATGGTCGCTCCTTAACACACGCTTTGCTTTCTCCTTAGTCGTTTCTGCGGGCGTGTGATAGTGTTATAGAAACAGTAGGATATTTAATAATAAAAAGGCTTTCTTTCCTCGTAAAACCCGGGCAGTTTTTAATTGCGTTCCTTTCCATGTGACTCGTCTCATCTCGATTCCTTTCATATCGCAGCTTCAGTTGCAAAAGATTAGCAAAAAAACAAAGTCTTGGTTGTTTGGCTTGCTGCACGAGAACAGGCAGCAGTGTCAGGCGACCAATCACAGCCTACACCGGATACCGGCTTGCCCAAGTTAGTTACCGCACCTCCCCAGATATGTCTCTGATCTCAAGGCAGCTGTCATATTCATTGGATATCATAACCGTATAGGCTGACATGTGGCAGATGCTGGACGGAGATAATGCGGGCGGGATCCTTGCATTCACCTCCACCTCGCCTGTGCCGAGCACGGACCGCACCCGTTGCCTCCCACACCAGGGCGCGACGTCGACATCATCGGCCCTTGTCGGGCTCCCATAGACATCCAGCTCTCCATACATCGTCGTATATGTTGGCGTGGTGGCAAATATCTCTCAGGCGCTTGTGAAATAAAGAGGCTCTTGTCGTTTCTTTCCGGTAAGATATCGTACCACTCATATTGCGCTGCACGACCGGGGACCCCCTAATTAGTGTTGGAACCGACCGCGAGTCCGCAAATGATCGATTCTGTTGAGAAATCGCCTCTGGGGTTCAGAGCGGAACCAACAACTCCGCATTGCAGAGGGTCTCCTGTCTCTCGCATAGAGACTCTTCCACGCACGCCCAGCAAACCCAAAACCAAGCAGACCAAACTCGCGCTCGGGGATGAAACAGCGGACTTTACAGTCGTATGCGAGGGGGCGCGGTACATGGCGCATAAGGCCATCCTGTCAGCCTCGTCACCTTACTTCGCGCGCATGTTCCGCTTCAGCGGCAGCGTAAGCCTCCCCCTTTTCCCGAACCGAGCTGTCCTTCATATCTAAACCCATTTTGCAGGAGATCAACAATAAGGAAGTCGATGTGCAAGACGTTGATGCGCTCTCCATGGAAAAAATCTTGAATTACATGTACACGGGCATGTATGCGCTCCCGTACGGCATTCCCATCCCGGAAACCGACTACTGCAAGCACAGCAGCTTAGCTCTCCTAAAGGGACCTGCTAGTAGTCCAAAGATCTTCAAGCGCAAGTGTCCTTGTGCAGGGAAGTGTCTTGCTCCTGCTCATCTACTCATGCACGTGCGCATCTACACGGTTGCAGACTATCTGGACATGTTTGACCTCAAATCGTACGCACAACAGGGTGTGGAGGATGTTTTGCATGTTTATTGGCAGGATGAGGGCTTAGGGCTGGCCGATGCACTGGAAGAGGCGTTTACGGCTACACCGGATGACGATAAGGGTATGAGAGACACATTTGTGGGTGCACTAAAAGAGCATCCAGGCTTGACGGTTGATGTAGGAGACGTGAGGGCTTGGCTAGATGCGAATCCGGATGTAGATGAGAGTGTGAACTGGGGTTGATTACAGAGGGTGGCTGTGACATGATAGATGGATTGGCCAAAGACTGGTTTCGATAGGTCTTGAACTAATGCATGACATAAATTCAACATGCTATTCCAGCAGCCATCGGTCGTAAAAGCTTCAGTATAAGAAATTTGACGCCAGACCGAATACCTGCTGAGGTTTCCAGTCAGTGGCTGATTATATGACATTCTTGACATCCCATACCTTTTATATGTATCCGTATTCAGCATCAAGAGAAGTTGTTGCAGTGTGAGCATAAAATTTCCTGAGGGTTTGACTTGAAACGTCTCGAATTCCGGTCCGTCATCTCTGCCTTGAGGAATAAATGGGCCCAATATGATAGCACAAGCTGTCTGAGTCACTTGAGCTAGTCATCATGATCTAGGGTCTCCTATCCACCCGAAACCATCAATTTACCAAGTTGTTTGCACCATGGGTTCACAGCTCCTGCTTTCGAACTCCAGGAAGGTGGTCGCAACTCCTCAACCGACACGCGGTCCAGGACGCTTCGCATACATTAATACAATGGTCCTCGTCCCAATCGTCGAGATAATTCCACATCGTATTCATAGACCTAGCCTATGCACCATCAGTATGTCGAAATTGATCTAGGCGATCCCGTGTGTTTGGACAGCTTACTATATCTTGTGGTGATGGTTTGCGAGGGCCAACGTCCTCTTTCGGAGGCGGTAAGTGGGGACGCCGGTCCTCGACCAGTATGGCGAAAGCATAGTAGACGCTATAGATGAGTAAAGCAGACAGGAAAAGTACAAGCGATATGTGTGCGACACGATAAATTAGCTTCATTCCTGGTGATATGGGCGTACGTCAGTGCATTCAGTTGTTTGTGTTGCGCAGCTCTTTCTTCCATTGAGGGAAGAGTGGAGCGCGCTAGTGGCTTAGCGTGTTCCTCAGTTGGCAGGAAACACACTCCTGCCATGGCCACCTCACCGTCAACATCTAGAGCATGCTCCACAGTCCATCTTCAAGCTTCTCGCAAACTATCATATGAGCCAATTTTGCACAGCAGTCCTGTCGCGATCTTTGCTGAGTCCCTGCTATGTTGTTTCGCGCGAAATACAATGCTGTCTTGCAGCAAAACTGTGCTCAGCGATTGTTTCACGATACCTACGTGGTAAATATTCATCTCATGTGATTGATATATCAATGATGCCCTGGCAGGGACCAGTCACGTTTGGATAGTCATATCAACTTCGAGTCATCTAACCGTCACGCCGTGGCGTCTAGTACGTATCTGGGCACTTTGATCTAAGTATCGTGGAATGAAACGATTTCGAAAATGAGCGATGTCACAAAGCTAATATACTAAGTTTCTGCTTATCAATGCGAAATCATGGCCATACAAGCTTCCATTGGCTGTTGGCCATGTGTTCTTTTCTCACCAGGGTATCCCTTCTGTTCTCAATCATATGAACAGAGATGCTTACTACAACAATACATGTGTGCCGGCAACTTCCTTTCAGATAGATCCGTGCATCGGCCAAGTACGGAATGGAGACTCTCAATGTTACAAACGGCTTGTGGGTCAGGCATAACCCCTGTACTTCCAAGAACCAACTTCTTGGATACTCGGACACAAATCACCTGATGAAATGGTTTCCTCAAGATTTTTGAGCATTTCCCAACAGCCAAAGGGGAGCCTAACGGGCTGTAACCTTAAAAGGGATAGGCTCGGCAATCTGAGTTGGCGGTAATCGCGGGCTGCCGCGATTCATCATGCTTGTCATCCGATTGGGCTGGACGATATCGTAGATCAAGACGCGAAGTCTACCAAAATAGCATAGAGGTTCCTATCGGAAGCTATAAACCTACAGATATCATGAGAGAGAGCATGATGGTAGTTCCGCCTCATATCTAACCTCGAAACAGTAAGGTCAGCAAAGGCGGGACCAGTTTCCAAGAACGACGAATTGACAAAGGAGACTAAAACAAGAACGCCGAGACACTACGACCACTTCAAGTGGGGTTAACAATCGATATGGTAAACGAATTCCGAGAAGACAGCATCTATCTACAACTAGTCTGAGTACTAGGTGCCCAACTGAGAATGCCTGATATCGCGAGAGCAGAGTTGAAGACTGAAGTTTGTGATAGATCTAACACATCGGAATTTTGCTAACAGTGGGGTCTAGACGTCTAGACCCTCGTGGCCCGTCGTACCATGGTCTTTTATTTACCGAATGTCTAAAATCCCCCACTTGGAGCCGCCGTCTGACATGCCTGACAGTACAAAGGAGCTAGCCACTTGTGGTTGACAAATACTTGCAATGCAGTAAGTACATTCCCCCCTGCGCGGCCGGTGACCGAAAGCAAACTTGGTGAGCGCTGCGATCAAAGGAGGCAACACAACAGCTGAATCTGAAATTCTGTAGATATCGAAAATGGATGGTAGGGCATCTAAAGCCAGTCCAACCCTGCAGAGTTGCAAGAAGGGTAGCAGATGTTATTAGACTAATGCAGGTTAGGTAAGCGCACCCCCACCAAGTACTCTCACCCGCGCACCAAAGGAGCATTTGGCCGGAACCAATCACAATCAATCAAGAAGAGATGGCCTTTCCAGAAGTTTCCGATCATGTCCGCTCCTCGCCTGGCCTGGCCCTCAATGACCGCAGACTACGAAATCTGCGCACGGACGCTCAAGAGCCGCCCCTCAGTAGCGGAGCTCCATCTTGATTCTTCGATACCCAGATTGCTGCATCTCTTGAGTCTCCATTCTCACCACCAGACAAACTCTATCTCCTACACTATTATCTGCATTTTTCCAGCTTTATCGTTGTTGGCAAGCCCCAGAATCATCCCTTGTTCCCAGCAACGCCGCCATGGGTCTCCTCGATCTCCCGCCCGAGATCCTTGACCTGATCATCGACCGCACGGCACCCGATGGTCTGGAAAACTTCGTTCTCTCATGCCGTGCCGTTTATTCTCGAGCCGCATCACAAATTCAACGCCACAATTCTTTGAAAAGAACCTGGCGGCATATTTCTAACTTGAGTACAACTCGACCCCGTGATACACTGGCTATCTTGCACGAGATATCACGTGAACCGATCATTGCTGAATACATTGAGAGCTTGTTCTTGTGGGATCGCGGCTCAGAAGATGAGGTCATGGACGAAGATGCCGAGTATAGCTTCCGCGACGACAGGGAGGCAATGGAAGAAATTAAAAGCTTGTTGCGAAGGACCGAACTTTACGGCAATGCCGACGAGAACGAATGGTGGAGCCAGATTCTGGATGAGGATAGGACCCATAATGGATCCAAAATCGACAAATTATACGCAACTATTGCCTTGTTGAGTCTGCTGCCCAATCTCAAAGTGCTACAGTTACCCGACAGGTGGCATGAAACCCGAGAAGGTGAGGGCGCTGAGGATCTTGTTCCCCTTGTGCAGGCTTTGGTTTCCATGTCCAATGCCCCAGGGCATCGACGAAAGCCTTTGGCGCAGCTGGAGACCCTGTTACCATTCGTGGAGGAAGGATACGATATCAGGGTTGGCCTCCAGGTTATAGAGCCGCTCATGGTGTTGAAAAGTATTAGAAATATCTATGCAGTTAGCTGCACAGCTGTCGACGAAGGCTGGGGCGGTCCCGGGTTTCGCTGGCTGAATCCAAATGCGAAGTCGCCTCTGACACGGGTCGAATTTGCAAGCTGTTGTATGAATGCAACTGGTCTCGCAGGTTTTCTGTCAAATGTACCAGCATTACAGGTGTTCAGATACTCACACCAAACCAAATGGCACGGTGTTCAATACGACTGGAACCCTGGAGAAGTCCTAGAAACGCTCGCCAACTATTGCAGCGGGACCTTGGTTGACATTGCGATAACCATCGACGAACTGTTTGGTGAGATTGTAAACGGTCTGTCTTCATTTCTCCGCTTCACAAAACTGGAAAGGCTAGAAGTTGATGTCGAGTGTTTCTGCGGACCGCCACTGGAAAGTGGTCAGAGACAGGGCGCAGAAGCAAGAATTCCTGAAGGCGCCGTCGCATGGCGCCATGCAGACATACCGTGTATGGGTGACATGCTTCCCGACAGTATGCGAGAGCTCCATGTCAACACAAACTTCCCGCAGCCATCTGAAGAGTCTCTCCTAGCCCTTTTCAAGAACATAGTAGTGCGACGCCGGGACAAGCTACTAAACCTACACACGGCGATCATCCGCCAGTACCGATCATCGAGTGCGGAGTACATTGCGGAAAACCACCAGGTTCTGATTGAAGTTTTCGACAAAGATGTAGAGAACCCACGGCCAAGGTCTATGATGCCGCTCTGGAAGAGGGAATTCGACAGACGTGTGGGAGGTATTGTATCCTCCTAGTGGTCTTCTCGCGCTTTCCATGCTGCTCCTGCACCGGCTTGAATTGGGTACCACCCTGGTCACATCGTGGCGCAGTCCTCGGATCACACTTCTAGAGCAGGGTGCATAGCTCCTTCTCGGAGTTTTTCAAGATGGGCAGGGTCTGCGGAGCCCCACAACCTTAGCACATACGGGACATACTATGTACATGCATACTTATATTCAATGTCGATCCCATCCGGTCGCAGAGATATCACGACGGACATCGAATTTCATAGAAAGTTAGCACATTCTTGAGATAGAGTATACAAGGCCGTAAGGCATTAGTGATCACAGTCTGGCGTGGCATTTGCGCAGCGTACGTACGTCTACAGTTACGTCATCTTGACAGTTCTGTGAGCGAAGCCACATACATCAGTGAGGGGAGGAAATACCTCAAATGATTGCTGATCACCAACAGGGTTCTCTGAGATCCACAGCGGCCAGTTTGGCCGCCAATCAACTTCCTTGCACTACCGTCCTTGACATCGCAACGGTCCTTTTGGCAGTGTATATCCTAAAAGAGGTATTTTCGGGAAAGTCACGGCCCGCCTTCGCTTAGTAGTAATTACAACATTAGTTATATTGGTGGGCATATACGCTAGGTAGTTGTCTCTTCAAAACGCTCAAGTTACCCCATCTTCGCACAACCTTATTCCGAATACAAGAGGAAAACCATCATTCTCTTTTCTCGGAACACATGCGGACCTAAGGAAATTTGGCCGAGTTGTCGACCGAGAGAGCGCAATCAGTAACGTCTTGAACAATTCAACATTGATTGCATTAACATATATTGCTCCAAGTCAACCTTCTCCAGCAGAAGCTCCATCGTCGTAACGTCATATTAGCTGCATATATTACTTCTGCGCTACAAATTTGATGTGTGTCTAGATCCAAGTTTCAATGATTGATGTAAAATGCAGGGTAGAGAGACGTGTAATCAATCAAGCACTGAGGTTGCACCAAACTGTGGGCTTAAAAGTGTCGTGTGCGATCCCTTGAAGCCAAAATTGCAAATAAGGGCTATGAACAGACTGGCAGTTATCATAGATCGCGCTAACAGTTCAGCTTGCTGAATCATGAATCTGGAAGTACATCACGCGCTCTGCGATAACAGGTGCACTGGTTGCCCTGCATATAGCCCGAGCAGAAGAATGGTCAACTCTGTTGCGTTCCTTAACCGAATCTTGGCTGTATGCCAGAACCATGGATTGTAAAGTGGTGGAGGGACTGATTACAACATCGATCTTCAGGGAAAGCAAGTGAGGCACGGACATGTTACCAGAATACTTTGTATTCATTCTATGACGTTCGGGCGGAATTTTAGTATTCATTCGACATGCAAGCCAAGGGAGAGTACATGAGACACAACAAATCAGTATGCAGAGGGTCAGTCTAGAGCATGAAGCTCATATATGCACACTTGGCTGAAATTCATAGGCAAATATGGATAATGCTGCTCCCCGAACCGGGATTTGACCAAAACTCGTTGAAGAAACAATCGTTCTCAACTTCCATTTACTTTGCTATTTGTTCCAACTGTGTGGGTCACACATGCCAGTCTTGTTATAGGCAAACATTGATTTCCGAATGGGTCTTTCAACTTCATCATTATTAAAAAAAAAAAGAACACTACACCCTCAACGATATATCGACCATGGTTCAAAAATTGCCCGTCGTCTGGATGTATGTATGAGATGAAGTCCCTTTTTTTCGTCTTTGCGCAAATCCCCCTTGCTTTGTTGATTGTGACATAAAAAGACCGCAAGCCCCTTTAGAAGTATTTTTCAACCCTCCCAAGATCTTTTTCCAAGGCCAATCTAACAGAGACATCAAAGGATCAGAACAAAGACGGGCAAGATGAAGCTCAAAAGCCTGCTTCTTGCGACTCTCCTCTCTCTTACTTCAGCAACCCCCGTTATTCCCGTTGTCAGGTCCCTTGCCCCTTCCAAAGTTGTCCCCCGAAAAGGCGGAATGAAATTGCCCTATCCCACGACATTCTACGACCTGCCTACAGGCGATCCGAGAAGCGTTCCGCTGCCTACAGGCGACCTGGGAAGCCCACCGCCTCCATGGCGGCACGAACACGGAGTAGGCGTGTACAAGGACCCTAATCAAATTGCTCCGCTGTGGTATCCCGAGGGCGAAGAGGGTTGGGATGGGATAGTATACCCCGCCGATGCAGTAGGCAGGAAAAACGAAGATCCCGCTCCTACCGAATTCAAGATTGAACCCAGGACCGAGGTCGCGACACCGGCTCCGGTGGTGGTGCGTATTGATACTGGTTTTGATGATGCTCTCAGTCGCGTGGGCACAAAGCTGCTGAGCGAAGGAGAGATGTCGGCTTGTTGGAACGAGTGTAGAAGCTCCAGGCACGAGGCGTGCGAACAATGCGATCAAAAGTTGCGGCAGGGAGGACTGACGCCTTCCAATCAACCGGTTCGATACGATCCTTGGGGCTGGGGCCCGAAGCGAGCTCGGGACTCTGTTGATACGGCTGCAATGACGATGGCCTTTGAGAAACTCTGGAAGTGCGCGGTAAATTGTATGCGCACCGACGCTAAGCCATGCACGACCTGCGATGCGCTCTGGGAAGAGTCCAATAAAATAGTATCGACCCGTGGATTCAAGGAGGAAATGAATTTCTGGGTCTGTGTGCGGGATTGCTCTCGCGACAGGTTGATCTCTTGTATGGATTGCGAGCCCGCCTGGCGCCAGCAACTGGCAGCGACAAAGCCCAACAACGTGTCCGTTGAACAAGCAGCGGCATACGCTGAGATCTGGAACTGTGTGGTACACTGCGGTGAAGACAAGACGCAGAAAATGTGCACGCCATGCGACGAACTGTGGAGAAAATGGGATGCAGGACTACCGCCTTTTGAACCCGAACAGGCTGGTCTTGCTACTGTTACCGCCAGAGGCGATGGCCAATCTCCACCACAGTGGTTTGTGGACGGTTTGCGTAAGTATTTGATATGCCGTGAAAAGTGCAATGGACTCGAAGATACACCCAGAAACAGCTTGGAAAGCGACTATTGCGACAACTGCGACAAGATGGCAACAGCCCTCCAGGGACAGATGATGCTATATCCCCGGGTCAATGCAAGCATGCCTGCAAAGTCCAGCAAGTCAATCGAAAAGCGCCTGCTGTACGTGTGGGACCCCGCGACCGGCGTCTTCCAGTGCGGAAAAGAGTGCGCCAAGGGCAAAGATTACTACATCTCGTGTCTCCCCTGCCTGTATCATAAGGGCATCCCTATTGATGAAAGCCTAGCAGAAGTCGTCAAGACTCGTCCTGAGCAGAGATCGGACGTTCAAGCCCGGCAATGAGGCTTGAGGGTTTTTTTTTCGTAGAAAAGCAGTTGCAAAGAGGAGGATGGTAATGTCAGATGAGGTTAAGAATGTTTTCGTGTTTCTGAGTTTCTATTAGAATAGGCTGTCTTGATAATACATCATCTTTTGCGGCATGAGTCTTCCGCGATTCTTTCTTAGAGAGAAATTCTTGCAGTGATAATACTACTGGAGTGATGGATGCAGGTGTTTTTTTTTGGAGATGTGAGGGACGAGCTAAAGTTGATGTTGTGATAAGCGGCTAGGAACACTCACATATTCTCTCACTTGACATGTTCTCGATTGCTTCTTGCATCGTTATTGATATCTACCCTACGATGATGCCTTGGATTGCAGGCCACGCCTACTTACGACTTCGCTTTTTCCACATTCAATGCATCCGTGATTGGTTGCATCAAGCTGTTTAGAGCGACCTCATCAACTTCTTGACCAGTGCCCATACCTGCTGGCGGTTCTACGCCCCACTCCGGGATTAGTCTCGTGCCAGCAAGGCTAAGCTCTAGCATGGTTCCACACGGGTATTCCTTCTTTTGCAAGAGCTCCAAGAGATGCTTCGCACACGCATCTGGCGTCATCGCTGCCTCTGGAACGATAGAGAATTGCTTCATCTTTGTGGTGTTGAACAGTGGCGTCAGTACAGCGCCAGGACAGAGAGTGGTAATCTTGACTCCAGTCAGAGGCTCACTAGCTGCGAGAGACTTTACGAATCCGATGATTGCGTGTTTGGTTGCGCAATATAAGGGTGCTCCTAGACTGCCAGCAATGCCCGCCACAGATGCCTATAATGCGTTAATCTCGTGCGTACTCGGGCCGCTCTCAGATTAACGGCTTAATCTTGTCAGCAAAACTCACAATGATACAAACACTTGCTCGTTTTCCTTTTCCCAGGCTCTTTCTTATGGCCAACCTTGTCAGCTTGATCGGGTGATTTACATTAACATCAACCTGCATATACCCCTCATCTTTTTCCGGGTCCTTCCAGAAATTGGAAAAGTCCGGTTCGAAAAGTCCGGCGCAGATGGCATATGCATCTGGGACATCGTTCCATTTCTTCTCGCACACATCGAAGATCTTGTCGAAGTCGGACCAGCGCGTCACGTCTGCTTGGACATAGACGATGTTGCCTTTGCCGGCTGCGAAGCTATCGAAGTCGGATGTTGTTTTGAGGTCCGCGACGAGGATTCGCGTACCAAGTTCGTAAGCTTGTTTCACCACCCCCAAACCAATACCTTGATACAATGAGATTTAGGTGTAATCACTCGGGTGTGATGCGTACCTGATGCGCCCCCAGTGACGAGCAGGATTCCGTTGTTTAGTGGTTGATCGATTGATGCCATGTCAGGTTTATTTTCTTCGTGAAATAATAAGGTTACTGATCGAAATTTTACAGATTGTTTGGGAGAAAATATAAAGGTCGGGTATCGATTGCGTTGTGCAAATGTTTGGCGATCAAGTGTCGGGTAACAAGTACCGAGCGGAGGGCCGGAGAATGCGGAGCACAATCTTAGGAGGGGTACATAACCACACCACGATGCCTATAGCCAATCCCTAGGGCAATCTGCTCTTCACCGGCCCCCTTCCGTCCCTCCACCTTAATGACAACCCAGCGGACGGCACCATCGGCGACCCCACACCGGAAAAAGGGAACTAGCAACTTCCGCATCCACCCCGCCCCAGGCAGATTCAACCCCTTCCTCGCCGTCCTCTCAAAAGTAGCACTGTATGTGCCTGTTCTGGACTCTCTAGTGCTCACGATCGAACTACAGGGCGATGAAAACGTGAACATGGCGTATTACGCCCCTGGTCAAGAAGCAGACTGGTGCGATGAAGACGAGGGGGACGAAGGGAAGAGACGGGTGTAACATTCGTTTAAAATGGGATATTGGCGGCCGGAGCATGGGACTGCGGCAAGGCTGATGAAATTGGGGGAGGTTGTTGAGATGTTTCAATGGGCGTTTGGTTTAAGGCGGTGTATTCTCGGTGTCATAGTATCGAAAGGGAAATGGTTTGGTGAGATTGGGGTAACGATAGAGATGAGAAGTATTGACGGTGAGAAGGACAGGTCTTGTCTTACAGGGCTGAAATCAGCAATTTACATTGTAATGCTATCGATTTTCCCATAGTCATCCAGTGGACACAATTCCTTGGTTTTCAATAAAGGGCAGCCTAACGTCCCAAACATCGATAACACACTTCAAAGTCAGTAAAACTTTGTAGCTTTGTAAGACTAGCATCGAGGAGAGGAGATTATTATTAATCAAGAAAAGTGTCTTCAGCACGAAAACGTAACCACTGCGCTGATGTCAGAAGCCAACAAATCCCACATCGAGATTTGTCAAACAGCTATCGATTCTAGTGAATACAAACCACTAAAATGCTCAAATACTAGCACATTATTGCAACAATAATACCAATGGAGACGGGTCACCTTTATTCAAAACTTTCCTAAGAGAGACAGGTCATTAAACGCTAATTAAAATCAAAGCACAAGCTATTCATAAGTGCCAGATATGTTGCGTACCAGGCAGGCAGTCTAAGCGTGCTCAAACCAGCTTTACCTATGCTTGCGATTTTTAGATTTGGAACCCCAATGCACGCAATCAACACGCGACGTCATCAGGCATTCCGAGAAGAAAAAAAAGAAAGCAACTAGCAGGTCCACATGTCCCACACTGCCAAATCAGGGAACAAAGACAAGTTCTCCATATGAGATAAGTTTAAAATGCATTTATCTATCCATTGTCGGGGGAGGGGGTATATACATTATCTTCAAACTCCTTTGATGCCAATAAAAAAAACCCATAAGAAAACATTCCAACAAGCCAAAAGAAGAAATAAACATTTCGCAATGGAGCCGTCATAAAAGCCACTCTATGTGCTCTTTCTTTCATCGAAGTAACAAAAAAAAAGAAAAGACCATGCATATCTTTAGATGCCGGTCTTTCCGATCACCGTGGCCTGCCGCCTTAGGTTGGCAACCATCTCGTGCTCTCTGCGCAGAGCCCTCCAATCAAACTTCTCAAAGGCAAAACTCCAGATGCGCTCGGCAACGCTGAGCCCCCATTTACTCATGAGACCATCGTCATGATGTGAATTGGTGCGACCAACATGCTGTACAAGACTAGGGGTAATGGCATAACGCAGCTCGTGGCGCTCATTAGCAAGGTCCTCGAGCAGGACGTCAATGTAGCCGAGATGGCGGTCCTTGAAGTATTCTACGATTTCGGTGGCTTTGACGTTGGGGAAGACAAAAGCTTGGCCGCAGCAGCCAAAGGCGGGCATTTCGTGGACGCCAGGGGGCATGGGCTGGACGGTTATGCGGCCAAAGGCGAAGAAGAGGAGGATGATGATTGCGAGGACGGCGTAGGTGGCTAGGAGGGTGCGGCGAGTGACGACGGTCAGGGAGAATTTGGTGGTTGGCTGAAAGCAGCGGATGAAGATGAAGATGGCCGTGGGGATGAGGGCTACGTAGATGGAGTTTTTGAGATATGTGGACCATTCTTCGGCGTTCCAGCCGAGGAACTCTTCGGTGTAGAAGAGGCGCAGGTAGAGGAAGTCGGGCTTGGCGCGCTGGAGGGCCGCTTTGCGCTCTGCCTCATCGATGGCGGCAATGGTGCGGTGGTACCAGCCATCGACGGCTACAGTGTCGTCCTCGAAAAGGGCAATGTAGGGCGTATATTGCTCTCTGCACTTATCCAAGAGGTATCTGTAGTCGAAGATGCCCTTTTCAATAATCTTGTGTTGTGTCTCGAGATTGCGAATATACTGCATCCGGTCGAAGCCGTATCCGTAGGTGAGGACCTCATCGGCCAGTCCGGCCAACCAGGCCTCGTTGTAGGCTGGGTGTATTTCCGGGCGTGAATGAGGGATGAAGACAATAAGGTAGATTTCTTTCCGCTCTTCCGGCGTGAGACCCTCGAGGAGAGAGCCTACTGCATCGGGCAGATACTGGGTGCCCTCACGCTTGAATGAAGGTATGCCGACACAGAGCTTCCTCTGCCTTTCAGGGCCGGCCTTTACGACGGTGGCGGAGTTGTAGGCGGAAACAAAGGCTTCGGCTTGCTGGCGCCTGAGGGCAGAATAGCGCGGAGTGTATCCTTTGCTGGGATCGAAGAAGATGGAGGTCGGGTCGCGGGCAGATACGGAGTTGATGGTGTATATGAAGCTAAAAGCAATGAAGATGGCAAAGCCTATGACGATGCGCGAGGGTGAGAAGTGCATGGTTGTGTGGGCGATAGCGAGCGGAGTATTAGAGAAGCAGACTTGAAGTAAGTGTGGTCAGGGGCGTGGTGGCATCGCTAAAGAAAGGGTGTGGGTGAGGGAAACGAAGGTGGTGGTGTGCAGAAGCAGATCATGTCATCGTGAAGGCGCGGTATTAGTTGACATGTGGATAGGGAAAAAAAAGATAGGAGCAACGGCCTCTAGAGGAAGGCGGGTACGAGGGGGTCTGAGCGGAGGCTCCACCAGGGCTGATGCTGTCGGGCGGGGATCTACCACTGTAGCTGATGAAGATAAAATTAGCCCTAAGCATGGGCGCTGGCCGCTGTTTCGTCCTCGTGGCATGGCGTCGCACAAGCCAAGTCAGACAAGGCGCCGGCCTGCTCGTGAATCTACGCATTTGCATGTGTAGCAGTAGATGCGTGGGTGTGCAGTTGGAAGAGAGTTTTTTTTTACAGCCGTCACCTGGCAGGGAAGCAGACATGTCAGACAGCGGGAGGAAGCACCCCCCCCCGTGTAAGATAAGACGTCGCGTCCCGCTTGATTGGCTTCCTGGGCTGTTTCGTTTTGTTTGATGAGCACTGAGGGCATGTCGAGAGGCGACGCCTTCACTGCTCCTCTAGGCTCATGTCGGTCTCGGCGCTCGATGCGCTGGTTGGGGGTGGCATGTCTGCCATTGGCCTTTTTGCCACGTCCCTGGCCCTATTCCCTACAGGTGCAAAGGGGATGCGTAAGCCAGTCGTGTTCGGCGGTCTCTGAATAGGGGCAGGGCAGGCGATAGTTAGAATACAAGGGCCGATGGCCCCGCCGCATGAGAGGCTTTTATATATCGGCCTAGCCCGTCGCCATTAGCGCCACAAGCCGCTTGGAAGACGAGGCTGGCTAACGTCACCACCGCCCAGCGCCTTCGACACGGCATGTGCAAGATGCATCGCATCTCGACGTCGAGGGCTAGACATGCCCAGCCCACCATCATGGCCATGGTTGGCGCTGCAGTAGCTGGGCGTGTGAGGGCGCACATGTGTACATGCAGTACTGTGCACCAGCTACGACGACGACGACGTATGTGCCATACATACTACACGCCCCGGGTCCAGGTGGCGGCACCATGACGAGCAAACCGCCCTCCCGCTGCCGTCGCTTCTTTCGCACCCAGTTGGAGTCACCCACCCACCACCATCGCCGTCGCTTCCTGCGAATGCTGCGCCTGTGGACCGGTGTTCCTTCACGAATCCTCATTGATCCAGTCATACCTGCCTGACTGACTCACAGTGCCAATCTTGCTCACACACCCCGCTTATGTATAGCGAGCAGCATATAACACATTTCTATCCGCACCGCATCTACACACAGAGCCCTCACCACCTGGCGCCATGCCCAAGAAGCATACGCCCTCATATACCACCGCGAAGCCATCCTATGTCCACCCTTCGCTGCAAAGCTCGCGCTCAACCTCGTCTGCTTCCTCGGCCGCAGAGCCCCAGACGGTCAACCAGCGCATACAACAGCTCCGTCGCGAACAGGCTCCACGAGCAACCCCGCAACAACGCGATGACCTCACCTCGGTAGTAAGCAACCGCACCGTTCCGCCGGAGCTGCGGCGCATCCTGCACATACCCGAAGTTAACGCTCCCAAACCAAAGGCCAACTCGAGGATGCGCCGCGCCAACGGAGGTGCCAGACCACCACCGGGGCCCGCAGCTCCCACGAGCTGGTTGCACACGAGCCGCTACGGTACCGTGCTCGGAAGAAAGAAGGCGGGGCAAGCCAAGGAGAGCGCTGCTCGGTTTGGCACACTGGCACGAGCCACGGATGAGGAAAGAAAGGTACGGCGTCATTCGTCCCAATCTCGCGCTGGCGTTTGAGTGTCGTCCAGGCTTAATGTTGCAATTCAGGCTTCTTACTCATGACAGCGCCTACCGCACCCTCGAAGCCTTGCCCACCAATGCCTACGGACCTTTGCGCTGCACTGGCAGGAGCTTTCCGAATACGAGCAACATTATATCCCATCACTGCCGGCATGGCTCAAGGAGGCTTTGCTGAGCTACTTGAGCGTATACGCGGAGCCGGAATGGGTAGATTTCAAATCGTTGAAGATATTGTTCCAGAACGAAGATGGAGGCACAGCAGGTTGCCAAGAGGTACAGATTGTGGACCTTTCTGGGCTGTTAAGTGAAAACTTGACGCTTCACGATGTTGGAAAGTGCCTTAAGCGGCCAAACGCGACGGCGCCAGTCCATGTCAGTATGGAGACACTCAGTCTAAGGGACGAGCTAGCGGAATCGTGGGAAGAAGAAGCAGATGAAGGCACCTCAGCACCCCCAATACCAGCAGCGAAACTCCATGTACCGCTCTTTGTAAACCTCAGCCGGCTGTCTCTTGCCCACCCCGGCTCATGGGCGTCTTGGCCAGAACTACTCCGCATTTCACCCAACCTCAACAAGATCACGCACCTGTCGCTCGCCCACTGGCCTCGGCCGTCGATGACGCCCAACGCAAAGACGACATCGATGATCTCGCGGCACACAAGCGTCTCTCTAGGCGGATCCGACTTGTACGCTGACCTTGACGACGACTGGCACGAAGCCACCAACATCATGCGGCGCTTCTCCAAAGACACGTACTCGCTCCAGTGGCTAGACCTGGAAGGCTGCTTCTGGCTCAAAGCACTGACG